ATATAATAAGCTGCTTCTTTTAAAAATACTTGTTTAAATGTGTTTCGAAGGTAATCCTCGTTGTATCCTTTCCCAATTCGAAATCTCCTTTATAACCTGTAGGTCTTTTTTTGGAAAGATAGGTACACTATTCGTACTAGTAATCAAATACATCGAATGGTCAATAGGGTAAGTGAATTTTAGGTTTTTCCCTCTTTAATACAACTTAAAAACGGTGCGTTAATAGGTCTCTTAACGGCACTGTTTTGAGCGAAAACAGTGGCCGTTAATAAAACTATTTAAAAATCGATAATAGAAAAAACAAATATAAGGTGCAGTGTTAGCATTACTTATTTTAATGTTGAATCGAATCTAAGCCTAATGTTGATTAAATTTGCACTAAACTTGTAACTCCGACCCAGAAGAGAGCAGTAATCAAACAATATTTTGGAATCGCTTCATAGATGCTATATCAAGAGCGGTTAAAATTATCGCATTCTTCGCGTTAAGATCGCTCCACCGTACGAGATTCAATATATCAAATCGCCAACGAAGAACGTAACGTTGTCACATGTAGGGCTCGATCTCCAATTTTATTTTTCCAAATGTTCACGTCGGCCCCTTTAGACAGAAGACTTCACTGCGAAAGTATCGTTCTGGGAAATTGCAGTATGGGAGTGGCGTATTTCCGTAGTTATTTGAGCGTTGACCGTCTGCACACTAAATTTGTAAATCTTAGCACTTGTTCTGCGTTATTAATATCGTGAGCCTGATTTGTGTAGTATCGTTATGCTCCTAAGAGGAAGTGACAATCCGAAGCCGAACCCGTCCTAATGAGTGACACCTATCACGTAACAACAACCCACTAAGGACCGATCCGTTAGTGACCGTTAATGGCAAATCGCGAAAAGAAACCTTTGTTTTTCTTTTATGTCAGTCACCAATATAAGTAGAAGCAGTGTCATATGGGCGAAATCTGTTAGCTGTTAGCTTTGTCGTTAATCGACAGTGACACGACTGAATTTCACATAACTTATATAAAAGGACGAAGGACTGTATTTTGCCTTTATGAATTGTTCCACAGTTAATGTACTAATTTCTGAAGTTTATTAATTAAAACAAAATTGATGAGTGTATTTATTTAAGTGAAATATTTGGGACGTCGTACTGCCAACTTAATACAACCTGCACTAATACAACTTCTATATCAAAATTCCCTAGTTACAAAAAGTTACTATGACATCATTTTGATAAAAATTTCTCGAAAATATCTTCTCAATAGAAAAAATAGTATAAGAAACTTGTTTCATAAGACGCCCCATCGCACTCGTTCATTAGAAAACTCGCCGCGAGCGGCTCGTTTTCTAAACTTGAACTCGTGCGTTAAACGCGCCACTTATGAAACTTGTTTCTTAATATACTATTTTTTTTTTAAACTGCAAAACGGCAAATTGCGATAGGAAAAAAGGGGAAACCCCGTTGGTAAAATGAAAGATATTAAGAGAAGCATCTAGTTAATAACTTGTTCTCATTTGCATATGTTGCAGCTCTCACAAAATAAACCCAAGAATGTAATTTCAGCATTCCTAGTAAATGTTTACTGTGTTGTTTTCCGATAACATAGGTCAAAGTGTCTCTGCAGCTCATTGGTGCGTATTAAACGTTGTTTAATTTAAAAATCCCAGGCAAATTTTCTGTTGTAGGTGGAGATATAAATATCGATTTATTAACGCTCAGAATGCTAAATGGCTTTCAACCCTTTCCTGCAATAGAGCTGTTTAATTTGTGTGATGAGAATTTGGTTTCAGTGGTTAATCGAAAATGGAGCAATGGTAAAATGTCCAAAAATCAAGCAACATGGGATCTTCCGCCTACATGTAGCTGTAAAAATTCGCTGCGTAGACGTTATAAATATTTTGCTAGAACATGAAGCTATACTCAGTATAGGTGATGAAAACATAAACACGCCGTTGCACTTGGCAGTAATTGACAATAACGAACACATAGTCAAGATGTTAGTAGCAAAGAAATCGGGCATAGATCTCAAAAACAAAATGGGGAATGCTCCAATACATACAGTCGTTCTTCATGGTTTCCTGAACATAGCTGTGATTCTCAGTAAAAATAACGCAAATCTCAATTTACAGGACAAAAATCTTAATACACCACTGCATTTGGGGGTGATGAAGAATGACAGCGATATAGTTCAGTTTCTTCTAGAAAAGAAAGTAGATACTGAGATTTCCAATAGCAACAAAGATGTTCCACTTATTGTTGCAACCTGGCATGGCTACACAGATATTGTTTCCATTTTGATAGACGCTGGCGCTAACAGGAATGTGAGGAACCGGGATGGAAACACACCGCTTCATTTGGCTGTCAACAAAAATAATTCAGAAATGGTCCAACTGCTTATAGCGAAACAAGTGGATTTGGAAATTCGAAATAACATCCAAGATACTCCAATAATTTGGGCAGTCTGGCTCGGTTTCCAAGAAGTTGCTCGCTTACTTATCGATGGTGGAGCAAATAAGAACGTGGGAAACAGAGGGAATAATACCCCTCTGCATTTGGCGGTTGATAAAAATGACATCGAAATGGTTAAGCTACTCCTTGAGAAGAAAGTAGACATTGAGATCACCAACAACAATAAAGATGTTCCGCTTATTGTTGCAACCTCGCGTGGACACTTGGGCATGGTTTCTCTTTTAATAGAAGCTGGTGCTAATAGAAACGTGAAGAACAAAGATGGGAACACACCGCTTCATTTGGCTGTCAACAAAAACAATTCAGAAATGGTCAAACTGCTTATAGCGAAACAAGTGGATTTGGAAATTCGAAATAACATCCAAGATACTCCAATAATTTGGGCAGTGTGGCTCGGTTTCCAAAAAGTTACTCGTTTACTTATAGAGGGTGGAGCAAACAGAAACGTAGGCAACAGAGGGAATGACACCCCTCTGCATGTGGCGGTTGATAAAAATGACATCGAAATGGTTAAGCTACTCCTTGAGATGAAGGTAGATATTGAGGCTATGAATAACATCAAGGATGTTCCACTTATTCTTGCAACATGGCGTGGACACTTGGATATAGTTGCTCTTTTGATAGAAGCGGGCGCCAACAGGAACGTCAAAAACAGAGATGGGAACACACCGCTTCATTTGGCTGTCAACAAAAACAATTCAGAAATGGTCAAACTGCTTATAGCGAAGGAAGTGGATATGGAAATTAAAAATAACATCCAAGATACTCCAATAATTTGGGCAGTGTGGCTCGGTTTCCAAGAAGTTACTCGCTTACTTATAGAGGGTGGAGCAAACAGAAACGTAGGTAACAGAGGGAATGACACCCCTCTGCATGTGGCAGTTGGTAAAAATGATATCCAAATGGTTAAACTGCTCCTTGAGAAGAAGGTAGACATTGAGGCTATGAATAACATCAAGGAATGTTCCACCTTATTCTTGCAAACATGGCGTGGACACTTGATATAGTTTTGCTCCTTTTGATAAGAAGCGGGCGCCAACAGGAACGTCAAAAACAGAATGGGGAACAACACGCGCTTTCATTTAGGCTGTTCAACAAAAACAATTCAGAAAATGGTCAAACTGCTTATAGCGAAGTGGATATGGAAATTAAAAATAACATCCAAGATACTCCAATAATTTGGGCAGTGTGGCTCGGTTTCCAAGAAGTTACTCGCTTACTTATAGAGGGTGGAGCAAACAGAAACGTAGGCAACAGAGGGAATGACACCCCTCTGCATGTGGCAGTTGGTAAAAATGATAACCAAATGGTTAAACTGCTCCTTGAGAAGAAGGTAGACATTGAGGCTATGAATAACATCAAGGATGTTCCACTTATTCTTGCAACATGGCGTGGACACTTGGATATAGTTGCTCTTTTGATAGAAGCGGGCGCCAACAGGAACGTCAAAAACAGAGATGGGAACACACCGCTTCATTTGGCCGTCAATAAAAATAATTCAGAAATGGTCAAACTGCTTATAGCCAAAGAAGTTGATCTAGAAATTCGAAATAACATCCAAGATACTCCAATAATTTGGGCAGTCTGGCTCGGTTTCAAAGAAGTTACTCGCTTACTTATAGAAGGTGGAGCAAATAGAAACGTGGGAAACAGAGGGAATAATACCCCTCTGCATTTGGCGGTTGATAAAAATGACATCGAAATGGTTAAGCTACTTCTCGAGAAAAAAGTAGACATTGAGATCACCAACAACAATAAAGATGTTCCGCTTATTGTTGCAACCTCACGTGGGCACTTGGACATTGCTTCTCTGTTGATAGAAGCTGGTGCTAATAAAAATGTGAAGAACAAAGATGGGAACACACCGCTTCATTTGGCTGTCAATACAAATAATTCAGAAATGATCAAGCTGCTTATAGCGAAACAAGTGGATTTGGAAATTCGAAATAACATCCAAGATACTCCAATAATTTGGGCAGTGTGGCTCGGTTTCAAAGATGTTACTCGCTTACTTATAGAGGGTGGAGCAAACAGGAACGTAGGCAACAGAGGGAATGACACCCCTCTGCATGTTGCAGTTGGTAAAAATGATATCGAAATGGTTAAGCTGCTCCTTGAGATGAAGGTAGATATTGAGGCTATGAATAACATCAAGGATGTTCCACTTATTCTTGCAACCTGGCATGAACACTTGCGTATAGTTTCCCTTTTAATAGAAGCTGGCGCTAATAGGAACGTGAAAAACAGAGATGGAAATAGCCCACTGCATTTGGCAGTCTTACGATGCAATTCCGATATGGTAAAACATCTAATTATGGCAAAATGTTCGCTTGACATCAAAAATAACGCCGGACTAGTGCCTTATGACGTTGCTGTAAGTAACTGTCCCGCTGTCCTTCCATTATTCGGAGATGTAGACAATGAACCACTTCCTCATAATATAGTCTTTTAGATCACTACTTTTTTTTAACAAATAAATGAATTGCACAGATTGTTATTAACAATATTATTCTTATTTAAAAAAAACATTTTTGTATGTTGAAGTTATTGACGGCTGTTAAAACCATAAGTTACAATCCATTATTTATTACCTAAAGGTTTATTTATTACTGAGCTAGCCGTGGTATTAATTATTTCATTGCAAAAGATGGTACAGTAAAATGTTTACCACTGTCGTAGAAATTAAATTTTATTTTAGAAGCGCAAGGTGTTCAACGCCTGTAAGTGTAACTAGCCCGATTCACATTATCGGTCACGTCACGGTCAGATTACGATATGGTCACGGTGCGCTCAGTTATTTCGGCGTGAATTCCTTAAGGCCTCATTCACATTATTGGTCAGGTTACGGTAAGAACATGTTCATAAGGAATAATTGACCCGACCGTGATCTGCCCGTGACATGACCGTTAATGTGAATCGGGCTACTATTAATGGCCGAAAATTTTATTTTCTTAGATCGGCCATCTTTAATTATAGATAATATTATTTACGGTTTTTATTTATTAGTCTGGATAATTATTGCTACTTTCAATAATGTTTGCTATCTGTTTTTTTTTATTTTTGTTTTTTTTTTCGCATTTAGCGTTTATTATTGTATCTATGTACATTCATTGTAATTGTTCTACATTGTCTTAGAATTGGCGTGTTTTGCTGTTAGACAATAAATACATTATTATTATTATTCATTATTATTATAAATGAAGCGGATTCGTTTAGTTTCACGAATCAAAGGCACTCGGAGCCATTCATAACTTCTTCGCGCATAAGATTTGGCTCCAAGAAAACCCGATTTCGGATTATCGTCCTCGAGAAAAATCGCCTCTGGAGTATTTGCTCCTTGAAGATCCTTCTGCATTTTTGAATTGCAAAATGTGTGGACACTGTTGAAGCTCCAACCTCCCTCCCTCGCCAGACGCTGTTTTGGAAAGTAAAACGTGAAGAAATTTTATATCAAAATTACCACCGTGAGTACGGATATAGGTGAAGTATTTGATTCAAAAACCGATCTACAACAAAAATTATTGTTTATTAATTATGGTTAATATTATTATAAGTACACACTTTTAAGAATAGCTCAATTCGAGGTTAAATTACAACACTCTCGTTAATGAAAGCAATAAAGTAATTGCAAAATCATGTAATTAAGTACTATCATTAGGATTTGCTTTTCTGAATGACGTGTTAGACATGTATATTGTATATGTATAAGCTTATAATGTAACCATCTTTACTGTACGTACATATTTAGTTAAACCAAAGAGTATACTCGTATAACGTAATATACTCTTTGGTTAAACATAATAAATATCATTGACGATAGTTTGCTTTATTGAACCTCAATACTTGGTTTTTGAAATATTTGTTTTATAAATTACTTTTTAAAAGGGCGAAATTATTTATATTGTTTAAACAATATTTATGCTACTTATATAAGAAAATCAGTTTTGTGTGATTTTTTCCATAAAAGTTCTTATAATACAGGGCCGCTGATAAGTCTGGAAACGGTCGATTATCGGAGAAAATATACAAGATATCGAAATATGTTTTATCCAAAAGTTTTGGGGTTCTTCGTAGTAAGAATTTTAATTATACAGGGTGACTCGTAAAGGCGCGGTACACCAAAATTGCATTTTTTTAATGAAACACCCTGTATATTATTCAATATTTCAAATCTTCTCCCAATTTGACATCTCACAAATATAAATGAAAGTTCACTAGAAATGCACCCCAGAAGATTCGAATTCTTTAACAAAGATAGCATCCTCATATCGATCCTCTGACGTTACTCGACACTGACCTTTTAAACATACTGGATGGTTAAGGTTAGCTATATAGAAATTGCTTGTGGAGGCTTCAGAAATTGATCCATTTTAGCCAATTTATTATAGTTCTTCACCGTTCAGAGTTTTTTTTTTGCTTTCCTCTTGGAGACCCCACACTTTGGATTTTCACCCATTCTGATTTCAAATACCGTTGGCGTATATCAAGACACCGCACCACCGCACACAATTCTTATATCAGCAATTTTAAAACATAATGTTAGTCTGTATATGTAGGAAATAGTGTCTTGATTTAGCTTTGCTGATTTTGCATTTTGAAGTTCATACAGGTCCATTGTAAAATTTAGCTCCATTTTACTTTCTGCGTTCCGAGTCCGGTTGATTTTGTTCACACTTTAATTATCATGTTTCGTGTATTATTTATGCCATCACAAAAAGTAATGTACTTAATTTTAATTGTAATTCTTCGTTTTATTGTGAATTGTATTGCCTTCAGCTACTTGTAACTAGGGGTAGGTAACCCTTGAATCTGTTTGTTATTTATGCTTGTTTCACTTTAAATGATATTCTTATTTTTGATTTGTTTAAGATTGGCCAGTTGTTAAATGTTCCTTCGATGTTTAAACTCATTTAATTTGGTTAGTAACTTCAATTCTTTCTGCTGTTTTGAATATCTGTTTCATCCGTGCAGAGGTAAATTCTGGAGTGTTAAAATTACTTAGCGGTATTAATCTTGAAATACAACTTCAGTCTAAGGTTACCGTATCCAGGACCTTCAGGTACCTTCTGGACTGGAGGAGGTCCAGCTATTTAACACTGTATTTCATGTACTTTATGTAAGAGACTTCGGAATAGTATTTTTCACAAATGGGAAAGGAGTGGAGTTGCTTTTAAATCGATTTATGCTGGCTACTTTTCATCATAACAAATATTGTTCATTTTTAGCGCATTTCCACAAAAATAAAAAAAAATGCGCTATTGTGGCCACTTTGTCCGTCCGTCCGTCCGTCCGGCTGTCCGTCCGTCCGCCCGTCCGTTCGCTCGTTTTGCGACGCTACTAGTTCTTTATCTTAAGAGCTATTGTTCTACTTTTTTCGCTATTTGGTTCGTTATGGTGTCGAGGCTTGCACCAAGGAAGGAATTTTTTCTGCGTTTATTGCTAAAAAAGTTATTGTAACAAAACCAACAAACCGTTTTTTACATGTTCCATAATTTTACACTTTTGCCGTTTATTAACCATCCTAGAGATCATTTATAATTTTGTATTGTTGTCTGTCGTCTGTCTATTGGTCTGTCCGTCTGTTCCTTTGCCTGTCTGTCCCTCTATCTGTCCGTGTGAACGATAATTTTGTTTAGAAACGTCCGATCGCTTTTACATCTCCGTTAGTTATGAACTGAATTGCATGAAATTCAATATGGGCATAGCCTTAGCCATATAATACGCAATGCCAAAAGTTGAATCGAATCGATTCAAAATTCACAGTGCCCTTTTCGCATCTCGACCATTTATAAACCGAAATGCAAACTTTTTTACTTATAAAAGTATTTGAATGAAATTTGATACATAGGCACTTGGAATAAAGGAAAATCAAACGCCAATTTCAAAATTTGGTTTTGCGAATGCGCAGTGCCAACTTTTTTATTTATGGAAGAATTTAAACGAAATTTGATACATAGGCACTTGGGATAAAGGAAAATCAAATGCCAGTTTCAAAATTTGGCTTTGCGCATGCGCAGTGCCAACTTTTTTATTTATGGAAGAATTTAAATGAAATGTGATACATAGGCGCTTGGAACAAAGGAAAATCTAACATTAGTTTTAAAATTTAGGTTTGCGCATGCGCAGTTCCAACTTTCTTATTTAGAAAAGCATTGAAATGAAATTTTTCTCATAAACTGAAATTGAAGTAGCACGTCAAAAATGGATTGCCCATGTGCAACGCTATCTTTCATATTTGTGGCCGGGTTTTTACGATTTTAACAGAAGTTGCATCTTACAAATGGGAAATGAATGCAAGTGGAAATGCGCTTTATGTAAATCGTTTACGATTACTTTTTTACTTGTTGTATATTGTGTATTACTCTAGATTTTTCACCTATACTTATCCTCTGTGAATTCGGAAGTTTCTTCGGCTCGGTTCCTTTGTTCGACGAGTTCTAGGGGAACACGGCACGTCTTTGGCTTTAGAGGCATTTTTTTAAAGGATTCTTGTATAAAGACATTATTTGAATATGCTAGAACCACGTTTATTCGAAGGGTCTACATACAAAATGTTACTCAAATATCTCAACAACTAAAAAAATTGGATTGGGCAAATTTCATTTAAATATCTTGACAAACAAACAAAAAATAAATAATAAATAAATAAATAATAAAAAAATAAATGGTTGGGTTACAAGGTAGTAGCATGCTATCGATGTTTACTCTCTTGGTAGATGATTAACGGGGGAGAGGCTCGTTACACATATTACACATATACATTTAAAGGCCGCCTGGCATACATTCGAAATCCTCCGACACTTAATTCTGAAGATATTTTCACTGACAGCTTTGACATCATCAATAGATGTTTCTCGTCCTGATGTTCCACTTGCCTTTTGTGAGTACCCTCTTCCGACATTTTGTTGTCAAGGTATTTGCTTCCACTTCACCAATAGATTTGTCTCGTCCAGTTGATTCATTTTGCCTTTGAGAGTACTTTCCTCCGAAAAATCGTTTTCGAGATATTCGCCCTTAAAGTTTTAAGATCATCAATGGATATATTTCTTCCAGGCGTCCCAATCGCCATTTGTGATCTAGGACCATTCCCCTAGAACTCCTAGGAGTAGTTCAATACGGCAGAAGTGAGCCCGGACGGACGGACAAAACGCAAAAAATAGCCCATTTTTTTAATTCTTAAAAAAATGCGTTAAGAAATGGATTGCACATACGCAAAAGGAATTTTTTGTTTCAAAGTTCGTTTTGCTTTTATTCGAGGTGCCCACACAAAATTCCATGCAATTCGGTTCATAACCATGATGTAAAAAAATCGAATTGCACATGGGCAAATTTAATTTTTTGATTCGGCATTAGATTCACTTTGTTTCAAGATGCAGGGCCACTGATAAGGGATAGCTAGCCGGAGCAAATGCACCGGAGCCCGGGCGTATTCTGGGAGCCCGGCCACAAGAAATTTTGAAGCTGCCAATTGCATTTTTAACAGAAATCTGCATATGCATATTTCTATATGAGAGAGAATCTAAAAAAATGCATTACGGAAGATTTAAAAAACAATACCATTGAACAAAGTTTCCTAATTATACGAGAGAAGAGAGTGACCAATATTGAGGAGGGCGGAGCAGAAGGTACTAAGGATACTAATGGAAAATAGCAACCTCAGAAGAAAGCAGATTAGGGAAATACTAGAGGGAAAGACGATCACCAGGGGACTGAAGATGAGAGGGAGATGAGATACTGGGACATATAAAGAGAAGGATCACATCGAACATAGGCCGAACGGTAAACGCCTCGGAGATCCTCATGGGAAGATGGGAAGAAGGGAGCAGAGACAAATATCAAACGAAGAAGGAAAGCAGACGAGTATTGGAGGAAGAGTGAACAGAAAGCAGCGCAGCGAGAGGACATCAATAAGAAGGGGACGAACAATGAGGTCGGAGTGGAAGGAAACGAGGCCAAAAGATGGGGAAACTAACGCCCAGTAAGCAGTGTTCCCTCTAAGGCAGATATTCGAGTAGCGAAACTGTAGCCGTACCCTTTCGGCTCGGATAAAACCCAGTTAGCCAGTTAGTTAAATAATCCACCTGCAAAATTTCATCGTAATCGGTCCATTCGGTCTCTTTTAAATCGATGAACCTGAAGTCATCGAGCGAGCGAGCGTCCGGACGATTGGGGGAAAGCATAAACTCTACGCTAAAATAGCTCTATAAAAAAATAGTAGCCATATAATCGTAGGGATGGACAGAGGGACGAACTGAACGTATTTTTTTTGGAAACACGATAACACGGTCTCTAAGAATAGCAAACAGATAATCTCAAAGATAAGTAATCTTTGGGCCTGTACAAACATTTCTCGAAATACCATAAGCGCCCTGATATTCCATGATCTTACTAATAAATGTACCCATACAAAAAAAAAACACAGTAATTTCCTATTCAACCTTATCATTGACGCAGGTATAGCATTTGAACACTGGCCTTTTTAGCTTATTCTATCACGATTGACATGAAACGTACGTAAATAAATACAGAATCACGAATTCAGGTTTAACGCTCTGCTATACGTACATTGGGGAAGTAATATTTTCCGTTATTCACGAAACAAATTAGCAAGATATGTGGAAATCCCGTTATATCGGTAGGTTTGATATAAATTGGTATGCATCCAAACTTGTTCTGTTTTCTGTATCTAGTATCAAACTGGTTCAAAATGAATTTATCAAGAGTGTACTTTGTTTTGGTGATATTGATTGTGTCATTTAACGATAATGTCGTTTCTGGTATCAATGGTATGTATTACAATAAATTGCGTAAATTATAACATGTATACATAGGTGGTGATTTAAATATCAATTATATCAATGCTCAGAACGAAAATGGCTCGACACTCTTGCATGGCGCTGTCAATCAGTGCGATGCAAATATGGTACGGTGGTTGATAGTCAATGGTGCAATGGTTAACATTCAAAATAGCGCACACGATCTGCCATTGCATATCGCTGTAAGAATTGACTGCGTGGAAGCGGTCAAAATTTTGGTCGAAAATGACGCATTACTAAGTGTAGGCGATGAAAATATGAACACGCCATTACACTTAGCCGTAATTGGCAATAACGAGAACGTAGCCCAGGTGTTAGTAGCAAAACGATCGGGCATGGATATCAAAAACAAGGCGGGAAATGCCCCAATCCACACCGCCGTTCTTTTTGGTTTCCTAAACATCACCGTGCTTCTCAGCGAACATAACGCCAGTTTAAATTTACAAAACAAAGATTTGAATACCCCCTTGCACTTGGCAGTGATGAAAAATGATTACGAAATGGTCAAAATATTGATACACATGGGAGCTCGCCTTAACATTCGAAACGGGCTCAATCAGCTTCCCATAGACATTGCACTTGAACGTAGTTATCTAGGAGTAAGTGCATTGCTCCTCGATTGTGGTACTGATATAAATGCGAAAGATAAAGATTCGAACACGTTACTGCACGCCTCCGTGATCAGAAATAATTATATCGTGGTAAAGCTACTCCTCTCAAAAAAGGCGGACTTGAACATTCCAAACAACGAAGGACTTCTTCCAATTCATAGCGCGACCTTCGACAACAACGAGGAAATGTTACAGTTGCTTTTAGACAATGGTGCTAACGTAAATAGTGAAAGCACCCGTTACGAAACCCCCATTTTTACGGCCATACGAAAGAGAAACTGGAAAATAGTTAACTTTTTAATATCCAAAAAAGCGGATCTTCTAGTGAAAGGTGCAGATGGAAACGCACCCATTCACATTTCAGTTTTGAACGAAGAGTTAAGTATAACCCAGCTTCTGATAACGGAAGGAGCCGATATAAATGTTAGCAATCTCAAAAATGAAACACCTCTTCATGTAGCCATACGTAGAAACAATGCGGCCATTGTGAAACTTCTATTGGATAGCAATGCCAATTTGATGATGGAAAACAGTCAAGGTGAGACTCCCTTATTGCTTGCCCTAAGAACTAATTGTATAGAAATTGCGCGGCTGATCATGGATTCTGCAAAGGGCATAAATGGAACAGATTCAGATGGCAATAACATACTGCACCTTGCAGTAGCCAAAAATTACATCGAAGCAGTGAAAATGCTACTTGATGAAAAAGTAGACTTGGAAGCGAAAAACCACGACGAAGATGTGCCCCTACTGATTGCAGTTGCAAAGGGATATCAAGTAATCGCCCAATTGCTCATCGGGGCCGGTGCCAACAAAAGTGTAACTAAGCAAAATGGCGACAGCCTGCTTCATCTGGTGGTACACAACGGTGACACAAAAATGATAAAAATGCTAATCGAAAATGGCGCTGATTTGGAAACTAAAAACGGAATTGGAGACTCTGCCCTTATCCTAGCGGTGTGGCTTGGCCATATAGAAGTGACCACACAGTTGATAGTCAGCGGGGCCAACGTTAATGTGAAAAATCGCGATGGTAATACCCCACTTCTTCTAGCGGTAATTAAAAATGATGCCAAACTCGTCAAGTTACTTCTCGAAAAAAAGGCTGATTGTACCATTTCAAATAAAGATAAAGAAGTCCCACTTATTAAAGCGTCGTCTAATGGATTGTTAGAAGTGGTTTCTCTTCTGATAGAAGGCGGTGCTGATAAAAACGTACAGGACCGCAATGGAAATACTCCGCTTCATTTGGCGGTTCAAAGGAATGACACGGAAATGGTCGAACTCCTGATTGCCAATAAAGTCGACATGGAAATAAAGAACGGCATTCAAGATACTCCGCTCATTTCGGCCGTTTGGTTGGGTTTCAAGGAGGTGACGCGATTGCTGATTGAAGGCGGAGCAAATAAAAGCGCCGGGAACAGAGACAACAATACTCCTCTTAATCTGGCCGTTAGTAAAAATGACATCAAAATGGTTAAGCTCCTCCTCGAGCAAAAAGTAGACACTGAGATTGCAAACAAAAACCAGGATGTTCCTCTCATTGTGGCCACGTGGAATGAGTACATCGAGATAGTGTCTCTTTTGATTGATGGCGGCGCTAATAAGAACGTGAAAAACCGAAACGCCGATACTCCGCTGCATTTGGCCGTTTCCAAAAACAACATTGCATTGTCAGCGCTTCTGATTGGTAAAAAGGTTGACATGGATGTTAGGAATGGCATTCAGGATACTCCACTCATTGCGGCTGTTTGGTTGGGTTTCAAGGAGATGGCGCGTTTGCTGATCGAAGGCGGGGCAAATAAAAACGTAGGGAACAGAGACAGCAACACTCCTCTTAATCTGGCCGTTAGTAAAAATGACATCGAAATGGTTAAGCTCCTCCTCGAGAAAAAGGTAGACACCGAGATTGCAAACACCAACAGGGACGTACCTCTTATTGTGGCCACGTGGAATGAGTACATCGAGATAGTGTCTCTTTTGATTGATGGCGGCGCTAACAAGAATGTGAAAAACAAGGACGGAAACACACCACTCAGTTTGGCTGTCCATAAAAACAACACCGCCTTGGTCAAACTGCTGATATCGAAACAAGTCGACATGGATGTTAGGAATGGAATTCAGGATACTCCACTCATTTCGGCTGTTTGGTTGGGTTTCAAGGAGATGGCGCGTTTGCTGATTGAAGGCGGAGCAAATAAAAACGTCGGGAACAGAGACAACAACACCCCTCTTAATCTGGCCGTTAGTAAAAATGACATCGAAATGGGTAAGCTCCTCCTCGAGAAAAAGGTGGACACCGAGATTGCAAGCACCAACAGGGACGTTCCTCTTATTGTAGCCACGTGGAATGAGTACATCGAGATAGTGTCTCTTTTGATTGATGCTGGTGCTAACAAGAATGTGAAAAACAAGGACGGAAACACACCACTCAGTTTGGCTGTCCATAAAAACAACACCGCCTTGGTCAAACTGCTGATATCGAAACAAGTCGACATGGATGTTAGGAATGGCATTCAGGATACTCCACTCATTGCGGCTGTTTGGTTGGGTTTCCAAGAGATGGCGCGTTTGCTGATTGAAGGCGGGGCAAATAAAAACATCGGGAACAGGGACAACAACACCCCTCTTAATCTGGCAGTTAGTAAAAATGACATCGAAATGGTTAAGCTCCTCCTCGAGAAAAAGGTAGACACTGAGATTGCAAACAAAATCCAGGATGTACCTCTTATTGTGGCCACATGGAATGAGTACATCGAGATAGTGTCTCTTTTGATTGATGGTGGCGCTAACAAGAATGTGAAAAACAAGGACGGAAACACACCACTTAGTTTGGCTGTCCATAAAAACAACGCCGCATTGGTGAAGCTGCTGATATCGAAAAAAGTCGACATGGATGTTAGGAATGGAATTCAGGATACTCCACTCATTGCGGCTGTTTGGTTGGGTTTCCAAGAGATGGCGCGTTTGCTGATTGAAGGCGGTGCAAATAAAAACGTGGGAAACAGAGACAACAACACTCCTCTTAATCTGGCCGTTAGTAAAAATGACATCGAAATCGTTAAGCTCCTCCTCGAGAAAAAGGTGGAC